TTTTTAATTTCGTTTGTTTTACTAAGTTAATATTTTAAATGAAAAAAAAATTGCAAGTGCTGTGTGGAGTCTCCGCACATTATGTGTTGAGTCTTCGCACAACTTGTGTAGAGACTTCGCACTGTACAGAGTTCGTACTTGTGCGGAAACTTCACACAAATTTGTGTAGAGACTCCACATTGTGCTGAGTCCGCACTTGTGCGGAAACTATTATTATTATTTTTTTTTTTTGCTGAATCATGCAACTAATATTTATTTACTTTGTTATTTTACTAATTAAAAATATGCATTAAATCTAATAAAAAATATAACTACAAGAATAAGTTTAACTTCAATATAATACCAACAAAAAAAAAAAAAACTCTTCCCCATTTGTAGAAATTCCGCACAAAAATGTGCGGCGTCTCCACACAATATATGAAGTCTCCCCATGCGCGGAGACTCCACACATTTGCAGAGTTGCTCCGCACACTTTTCTTTTTTATTGCTAGAAATCATGCAACCTAATATTATATAATAATTGAAACTTGTCTTCTGCAATTTTTTTAGTTTGTTATTTCATTAGCTTAAAAATATATATTAAAGTGAAAGATTACTATTGTGATATGATATAAAATTACAAAATTTAATTTTCTTTATTTTTTATACAGCAATTCAGAAATTCAATATCTCCCCACTCTCCGCACAGTGCGGAGCAACCCCGCCTTTGGTGCGGTTGCTTTGCATAGTGCAAAGCATGTGTTCACACAGTTTACGCGAAGACTGCGCACAATGCGGGGTCAGTGCAGATTTTGCGGAGTTGCACAATTTGTACGGTCGTGCAGCGACTTTTTTTAATTTAATCATGCAATTTAATATTTGTTTAGTTTGTTATTTTATTAGTTAAAAATATGCATTAAATCTAATAAAAAATATAATTACAAGAATAAGTTTAATTTCAATATAATACAAAAAACTTTCAAAGAAATAATAATTGCTAACAACAAAAGGATCTAAAAAAATGAAGAAGACAAAAATGAAAAAAGTAAAACCTGTGAAAAGGAGGAAAAAAAAAGAACGATGCCAAAAAATTTGGCATTATTGTTCAAATGAAAAATGCATTATTGATATACAAAAGACTTTTGCAGTCATCGGGTAAAAAGTATGGATTTATTGTGTGGTGTTAAATTTTTTTTAAATAATCATAATAAATCTTCTTATTACGCTAATAAAATTATAATACTTTTTTTTTTCTTTTTTTTTTTTTTTTACAAATAGCATAAAAAAATCATTTTTATTTTCAACTAAAAATCACATTTAAAAATTAGCAATTTTATAATCACCTTTTTTTTTAAATTCCCGAAAATACAATTATATAAAAAGGAACAATATTGAATTACAAAAATCAATATCTGCTAAATATGGTATTTAAAGACAATATGTGCAAATACAATATGCTGTAAATACGGTATGATATAAATACGGTATGCTGTAAATATGGTATGATGCAGATACTGTATGCTGTAAATGCGATATGCTACATATATGGTAAGTTGTAAATACGGTATGTTGCATATACGGTAACCTGTAAATACGGTATGCGTAAATATGGTTGCCTACCGTATTTGCAGCTTACCGTATTTGTATACAACTTACTGTATTTACAGCTTATCGTATATATTGTCTACTGTATTTGCAAGTAATTTACCTATTTGCAGCTTACCATGTATGATGCAAATACGATATACTGTAAATACGGTATGTTGTATATACGGTAAACTGTAAATACGATATGTTGCATATACGGTAATCTGTAAATACGGTATGCGTAAATACGGTTGCCTACCGTATTTGTAGCTTACCGCATTTGCATGCAATACTCTGTATTTGCGGCTTACCATATACGCTGTCTACCGTATTTGCAGCTTACCATATATACTGATTTTTGCACTTACAAATACTGAGAATGCAGAACACCATGCATTTATTTACCAAGCCGAATGTCAGAAAAAAATTTAGATTTTTATTTTTTTAACATAAGCATAAAATAAATATTAAAATATATGAAGCACAAAATATAAACTCATATGAATATACAAGTCAATTTATAAATTTGTGCTCAATCTTCAATTTTCCAATGTTGAATTACACAAAATTTAGAAATATAATTTTCACATTCAACTCAATCATATCAACACTATCAAAGAATACAGGCAAAATAGTTTGTATAACCTCGTATATTTCTTATTCAAGCATGAAATATACAAACATATTTTTTCTAAATAGTACAATACTGTTGCAATTGTAAAAATAATTTGTAATTATTTTCTTATATCATGGAAATATTTCTAGATATTGTTTCAAAAACTTTCTTAAAAACTAAAATTCATGCAGTAATAAAAATATGACAAATACAAAATTCGTACAACGTACGTGATATTGACTATTATTTAAAAATATTATGGGTAGAACCGAATCCTAATTGAAATCGACGATTCGGGTTTGAATTTGGTTCCAATAAATACAAGAACACAAATTGTTACATTTATGAAATACCTTGAAGTATAATGGGTAGTTTCATCTATTGAAATACGTGAAGAGACCCACTTGATTCTTAGTTCTACTTGTGATCCCTACCCGAAATAAGATTTTGCAATGAAAGATATTAAAAAAAGGATGATTCTATTTGTATATTCAAATTGTAAATTGTTGTTGATATTGCGTGATGTTTAAAAGATTTGGTCATTGATTTGAATAATTGTCATTCAAATTGTTGATCAGATTAACTAGCACGTCACACAATGTTAATATAGATGTCAACAAAAGTGTAAGTGTTCTAAAAGGCGTAATGCGTGAAGGCTAAGCTACGGACTAGGCGAGGCATAGGCATGAAAAAACGTAAATTGTTTTTCTTATTTTAATATTATTTTAATTTTTAATCAATCTAAAAATCGTTTAATAATTAAAAATACTACATGCCAAAATCTAAAACAAATTTATAGGAAATTTATACATTTTCCTAAAGTTTTCAACAAAAATATAACTTCCAAATTAAATATTAAATAGTAAATAAATAAGAATTTTTGAGAGATTTCTTTTGTTCAAGGCTTCAAATGACTATTTTTAATTTAGAACCGATGAAGTAAATAAATCAACATTTAAATTAGAACTTAGAAGAATTGTTATAAAAAAAAACATTTTAAAAAATTCAAAAAAAAAAAGAAGAAGATAATTATGCACTCTTAAGTGCATATTAGTAGTCAATGATTGCTGTTAACCGCAGGCTTAGCATTTTTGCTGCGCATTGGTGATGCCTAGGCGTCGTTAATGTGCGCCTTTTAAAACAATGGTTTAATATGATTGTTAAAAGTAGCATGACATTTTCGCCTCGTATTTCACATTGGTGATGTCTAGACACTATCAATGCACGCCTTTTAGATGTAAATACGATTGTTAAAAAAAAGGTCAACTATGCATGGCTAACGACGCCAACCCAATCGATTATCTAATGCCAACGGCTCCATATATTCTCGAGTTTCTAATAATTTCAACCCGCGGTTCCCCTTTTAACCCATTCCCACCATTCAAATAAATAAAGTTGGTCAATGGATCTCTCTCTTCAACTTTCACGTGGATAAATGGAATTAATTTCATCTTATTTGATGGTACTTAAAATCTAACTTTTAGTAAATTTTAATAGAAGTTGATAAAATGTATGGTTGAAAAGTTATGAACCCATAAAATATGTGGTTGAAATTAATTGTTGATTTTAATTTAGATTTGAATAGAAATTAAAATATACATTTTAATCATATTTTGAAGGTATCGGTCAAAAGTGGACATTCCTTCTCCTTCTCTGCCCGTCTGCCCATTTTATAACCTTTGCCCATTTTCAAGTTTCGATTCTCTTACTTTTCTTCTACAAATTTCTCTCTCGAGATTTATATCAATTTATTGACCGTTGCCACTTCCAATGGGCCTGTGTCTTTTTTGACTTGCTTCTCACACGATTCTTACACTGGAACGCACACCCACTTTGCAATGATAAAAAAAGGATTTTAATCTCGCAAAAGGTGGAGGTATATGAGCTTATTTTATGCACATTGGACCAATATGTACGAGCTGATTAAGATTGGAATGCTTGATGTGAAAAAAATTGCACTCTGTGGTTGCCATTTCAAGGATCAGCTGTGAAATGCGCGATATTCCTTGTGCACTCAAGGTATCATCCTTAAGTTTAGTGATCGAATATGCATTCAAAGGAGGGAGCAGCTTATATATAATTTCAGTACATAAGTTCCCACCTCGACTAACATAGTAAACATTTTAGGTGGAGTGAAAGAGGCAAAAATAGAAGCGAGAATGGGAATTTGAACAAACATATTGCAGTATGGTCCTATGGGAAGTGGATAATTTGGGTTATATTTTCCATGTTCACTAAGTATTCGAAACTTAAAGTAGATTATTGAATGTTCAATTAAGCTCCTCGTACAGATGAAATTTAGTAGATTATTGAATGTCAATTAAGCTCCTTGTATATATGAAATTTATACAAAGCATTATAGATGACACGTGACAACACAGTATAGGCTAATTTAATTGTATTTTTTGTTCAGCGACCAATGAAATTTTGCTAGCTGATAGTTTTTTTAAAAAGTTGTCAATTATTTATGTACATGTAATATGATTGTCGAATATTAATTTGGTCAAGGACAACTTCGTTAATTTGAACATATAACATGTAGCACAACTAATAGAGTTGGCTTATAGCTGTGGAATTCACAAGGCCATAAGTATATGATATTATCTAATATTTTACATTGTAATTGACCACACACTACAATGTGATTGTTTTAGAGAAAAAGTAACCATTTCTATTTAGAAAGGATCAACTTGCACAGAAATTGATCGACAAAAATATTAATTGTGGATTCATATGCTCTATTTATCAAATTTTAGGGATCGTATCTGAATTTTTTCTCAGAAAATCCGACAAAAAAACAAAATGAAAGTACTAGAAGTATTGGTTCTTGTCAGAACTCCCCAATTCGTAAAACTGAACTAAAAAACCTACTGATTAATGTATAGAGACCACGAAAATAAGAGCTTCCAATATCAAAACTGAAATGCAATGACAGGTATGGACGCCGATATGACGGAAATGGAGGCAAACGTATCGGTGGCGTTAAATGCCGACCAGACAGATGTTGTTCGAAATTTGCTGACAATGGCTAGGCAACTCATCGATCAAAACAAGCCGTCGCAGTCTCTTCAAGCTGTAATTTTTAGTTAATTCTTAAAGTTTTTGTTAATTATATAATTATGGTTTACGATTTATTATTTTCTATGGTCTATATGAACCTCTTCTTTTGAATCGTAATTGCGTCACGTTTATTGTCGTTCATCTTTGCATTTTAATTACGAGATCCTCTAGTAGTAACTCTTACTTCTCCCTGTTAACTGACCACGGAAAATGTGAATCAGTGTAAGCACTCTAGTTAATAAGTGAAATAAAAATAGATAATTTACAAAATACAATCAATCACTATGAAGGGAGAGATTTACAGTGTAGGGATAGATGATTTATGAGAGGATAGATGTATTGGGTTTATTGGGGGGATCGTTGATCATTGGAGAAAGGAGGTGTTAGAAAGAAAATGGAGATGACTTGTGTTGCATACGTGATGTTCTTGTGTACAAGAATGATCTGTAATTTCACAGGTGAACAAAGTAACTAACCATTCCTATTTTAAATGGGATTCGGACCCTAAATCGCATGGTTAAAGTGATTGGAATCAATACCCATAATTTAATGGGATATGTTTTGATATTGTGTGACATTACAAAAAACTATGTGGTATAGTAGAAACCAACTTGAGGTTGGATATGCAATTGACGGATGTGAACATTGTTCTCTAAGCTGAATGATTGACATTTCCTAAGATTTTGTGCAATTCAGGTGCTGAAGGGTGAGATTTACATTAAATAGAGTCTCCCTCAAAAGATGTAGTTGTGGTGGAATGTTCAATTGTAAATATCAGGTTCATTAAAGATACAGTAAAATTATGTTTACGCCAATATAGGAATGTAGAGGGTTAAATCCATCACATGATCTAACAAGACTAGTTGTATTCTTAGAATATGTTTGCAAAGCTTATATTATAACTTAAGCTGATTGAACACATTTTTTATTCACATATTTTATAGGATGCACAACTTACTACCTTATTATCAGAAATTTCCATAAGATCTACCAAGCAAGCACTTATTTTATAGGGAGGAAACTGGAGTTAATACGGCATGTAACAATATCAACTGCTTTTTACTGTGTAACTGTATCTTAATGAATGTAACTCTTACCAGTGCAAGTCTCAAGTCAACATTTTGGAGCATGCTGATAAATATAATGGAGCAACACAGATGTTACAGACGATATGCCGTATTTAAAAAGTTGAGTTATTTTTTAAATGAATGCTCCGCCGAGCTAAATTATAAGATTGCATAGTGGCTTCCTGATTTGCATTCTGTTATTTGGTAAAATAGACCATAAATACTGATGTGACACAGTATAGAGAGCTAAATAAAAATGGAAGAAGGAGGAGAGGGAAAAAGAGGAAAAGGTAGACAAGGGAGAAGAAGAAACAAAAATTTGAGGAAATTTTATTACTTTGCATTTAATATTCAATGGTCTATCTATTAATGGAATGGAATAAATCAATTATGAGAAAACCTCTTGATTGAAGTTTTAAATCTTTTCTTAAAAATAAATATCTAACTTTTGTTACTGTTCAAAATTGTATTAACTAGGATTCCCGCCACTCTTATTTCCCTAACCTCTTGATTTAAGTCCTAATTCTTTTCTTAAAAATAAATATCTAACCTTTTTTACTCTTCAATATTGTATCAATTAGGATCTTCGTCACTCTTATTGCCCTGGTAAATGATGTTGTACAGAAAGTGACTGGAACAAGAGGGATCCACCGAGAAGAATCACCTTCTTTTTTTAGGAGGAAATTTTTATCCAAACTTAGTCCATGAGATGTAAGAAATCCAAGTGAACTTTTTCATTTTGAAAAGTAAGGCCATAGGTGGGTATGACTTTACAGTGGAAAGGAACATTTTAAGAAATGATATTTTCTACCGCTTTATTTAGTCATAGTGACGATCAATTGAAGATGTCAGTCCGTTGAGCCAAATAATGTAATTTAGATGTTTGGAAAGGAACATTTTAAGAAGTGATATTTAGTGCTTTATTTAGTCACGGTGATTTAGTGCTTTATTTTGTCACGGTGATGATTAGTTGAAGATGTCAGTCCTTTCAGCCAAATAATGCAATTTAGATGTTTTTGAAATTAAAAAACTCAAATTCATAAATATAGCCTTTGTTTGAGCCCCATTTTTTGGAAACAAATTGCATTCTTAGATAGTGTTTTACATTATTTCAGCCTCATATTTTTTAATAAAATAATATTACACATAAATCCAAAAAAAATTCTTTATTTTTTAATCACATATTTCTCATCAATATACTATTCAAAAATGCATTTTCCCCCAAAAATGGGGCTCAAACAACGGCATAATTGATGTTTCGAGTTGACCACAAGGCATCCATCAAGGCCTATTTTTTGGGGATTGAGGATTAAGAACTGTGGTAGACTTACAAGTAAACAGGTATTCTAATATCCTCCCATTGTTAATTTTAACTTACTATTGTCATATTGTTCTGTTTTCACCTGTTTGCTCCATATTCTCTTCAACGTCAATCCTTCAAACGTGGAGTTATAAAGTCTCTGGCCACTTGAAGTGGGAACTGTATAGCCGTTTTCCCTACATGACTTGGAAAGGAAGCTAGCTTTGTTTGGTTTTGCCGGTCATCTTTGTATGGTTTTGGCTTTTGGATTATGTTTTTTTTTAATGTAATTCGGCATCTACCTGTTATTTATGTACGTAAGAAGTGCTTACAGGATGGCATTTTTAGAAACATTTGTTATTTATATTTGGAGATTAGGATTATGAAACTTGATGTAAAGAAGAAAGAGATCATTGGTAATTTCAACTTCTTGCATTATTCTTTAAGCATTTCCATTTATGATTTCCTGTAACAGGTAGTGATGGCAGTGAGATTTCAAGGCGGGGATGAAGCTGTTACTCAAGCTCTTAATCGTGCTCGAGATCTCTACAGAAACAAAGTTCAAGCTAGTGCTGCTGCTGATGAGCTGGCTTCGTTGTTTGCAGAATGTGCAATTGCAGAGGCCATGCCACCTGAATCTGAATCATCTCAGAACCATGTTTTTGCTGAATCCGTTGAACCGGATGTTTATGGAACTTCTATACTCGCCGAGACTGGCAGGAAGCAAATCATGCTTGATGCATTCTCAGATGGAAGCAGCTTCATCTGCTTACAATGTGGAGGTCTTGTTAGCAATCATCGCAAAGAGGAACATTATGCATTCTGGTGTTGCAAAATCTGACTTCTTGTAGTTTCTTGGATGTAAGCACTATTTTATCACCGTGAAATGCATACAATATTCGTATTGTAATTTGCTTGTGCATTTGATGGCCACTTTCGAGAATGTATCCCCCTTTTATTCGAGGAATATACTTTGTGTCTGGATAATGAGGTTTGTCAACCAATGAATAGATATCTTGTCTTCTGCAAATATTTAGTAATATCTTATTAAGTGTACCATCATAAGAGAATAATCAATGAAAGTATACTGATTAAATATTACTTTCGGTTCATCCGCTTTCCCATTTATGAACAAGTAGGTAATCATTTTGCTTTATGCTTACTTCGGAAGAGTTCCAACTTATTCTGGAATTCAGCAGGTATTGTGACTATTTCATTTTGAGTATATTTTGAGTAACAGCTGCTGTATTCAGTATTTTACCAAACAACAATGTTGCACGACATTGTGATGCGTGATAAAGTAAAGAAATGCAAAGAGCAAAACGAAAACGTGCTGCTGATTTTGCTCAACTAGGTACAACGTTGGATACAGTAATGAGTTATTCACGACAGCCCACCCAATCCTCTATGCACGGTTAAACAGGACAGGAGAACCGATGGACAAGATCCACCGACGAATAACCAGATGCGAAATTCCAAGGGCGAGAGACCATTGTACTTCATATTCATCTAACATAGCTACAATAAATAAGATGTAGGCTCGGAACATGCTTCTCTTTAGACAAAATAGCGATCCCATTTGGAACTTGGATGCTTCTAGTAAGCCATTTTTTATTATCTTTTACCTGCACTCGTTATCCTCTTCCCAGGGCCCTTTGTTGGAGCTCAAATAGGTCACAAGAGAGAATACACAGTAGAAAACCAAAAGCTAGTTTCTGTGCATAACATTCTGTTGGAGCTCATGATTGTTTCATCACTATGTCTAATCCATTCTAAAAGTCTTCAAGGTTTTTGCCGCTTCCATTTGAACTGTAAAAGCCATCGATGATGACTTCTCTTCCATCTCCACAATTTTCCAACATGTCCAACTTTTGCTAATTTCTTCATTGACAACGGACCAATAGGCACCATCTGCACTCGTGAAAGAACTTCTGGTTTACTAATAGGGACACGGTATAGCAGCACAGAGGAAATATATAGCTAGAAATAAACCATTCTATATCTAATGAAAATATATGATATGGTGATAATTGATAGCATATCTTCAGTTATTTGAACACCGTGTCATGTAATGAATCAAATAATCAATTTACGATCACCATGATCTTCCATGAAGATTGTATCACTCCTAACATAACATGGCACAGTCTAGGCCCACACTGAGACAGGCCACACTCAGTCATAACCGCGAGGTGTTTGTATAAGGGATGAACAGCGCAATAATAACCATTGTAGCTGACCAGCCCACTACGGTATAATAGCTGTCCATGATACAAAGGCAACGAGCTCGGCAGAGATTAGCTCAGCCTATTACACCTAAGAAGTTTGCGTGTCATAATTCATGTGACAAATCAAGGTCCCACAAATGTCGAGTAAGGTCTTGCCGGAGTTCAAAGGCCACAGCTGACCCAAAATGAGGGGTCAAGCTCAAGAATGCACGAGCTCTGAGAAGGCCTAGTCCATTATTAGGGGAGCCAAAGGCTGACCTGTATGGTATGAATTGAACAGGAAAGTTAAAGAACGTTTTGCAGGAAAGCAACAAAAAACAAAAGATAAAATCCAACTCCCTTAGGAACTATCCAACTGTGCCATTTCAAGTACAAGGTTACAAGCCAAACATTAGTCCGAGGATTTGTCCCTTCATTAACACCACTTACAGAGAGCAGTCGGTGATTGATAAGAGAGAGAGACCATGGGACGCTCCATCTCCCAATAGCTCACCCATAAATACAACTTTATTTAATCCCAAAAGAAGGAAGAGAGGTAATTCAAAAGTTAGACAAAGTTGGAGTCAATCGGAGTTTGTTGCCTTTCTACTGAAGGTCTGGCCTAGCCCGCCTCAAAAATCATTCTTGGATTTCTATTTCGATAACGTCTCACCCTAGTGGTGGAATAAAAAATTTGGACAAGAATAAATAAAGAAACATACAAATTTATAGTTTTGACATAAAAGACGTCTATGAACAAGATAAAAACATGGGATAATTCCAAAAAATATTGATGTCCTGTTCCCCAAAGAGATCAAATACATTCAAGAATTCTGAGTACCTCTTTCTGCTCCAACTGCCTATTTAACTTGTTCAATTCTCTATCCATAGTGTTCTGCAAAAAGGTATGTTCCAGCTCTTTTGTCATATCTTCATCAATATCTCCGGAATCACCTGCAAGCACAGCCAAGAGACCTGAACAGCGTGCAATCAACTCCTAATGAAATATGGGCCTACTTCCTGGAAATGAAGTGAGTCCTCAATCGAAAGTAAGTAAAGTCACTGCTGATTAATTGATTAGGAAATATAGTTGGCGTTGAAATCCCAGAGATATGATAATATCTTAGTTGCCTTGATTAACTATTGTATTTCGGGAAATTGTAATTATTGCCTGGAAATGAAGATAGATTTTTTGCAACGGCTTTTGAAAGTTGTCGTATCCTTCTAGTCTACGGCAACATTGAAGCCCACAACATACGCCCGAACGTTGCAAAAGGCTTTTGACAACGTTTTTTGACCGTTGCAAAAGATTGTTTTTGGTGTAGTGAACATAACATGTTGCTTCAACTATTGTGTAGCTGCCACAGCCCGAAACATGACCGTTTGAGAATCATTAGCATGTTATTTATGACATTCGTGGCGTACATTTGGGAAGGAGTCGAAATATATTCTTATATCCAAAGTTGCAGATAAATATTAAATCCCGCATGAATATATCACAGCCAATTCAAGATATTTTCTATGATAATACACTTTTAAATATTCAGGGTCATTATTACTATCTCATATAAAAATGAAAACCACTTTCTTATGTACTTCGATTCTAATAAACTAATTACTAGTTTGCTACAATTCAACTAATTGAGTTTAGCATGTTCTGCATGATTGAATTTTAATTTTGAGGAAAGAAAGTGTGGAGCTTATGTAACCACACTCAAAACTTATTTCGAAAGGATTACATCATAGGATTAGGTCTAATAAGCCCTTCGAAAATAAATATTTACATCTTTTGATCTTTATTTTAGGTAAATAAATTGTAGTATTTTTTGTAAAGTAAATAAAGCTATTCTATTTTCTTGTGAAGTTCAATTTTATGTTTCATACGGCTGAGGATCATGGAATTTTGCTGGATAACTCAGGAGTGTTCAAGTAAATTTGTAGTAACTTTTTAGGAATAGTATTGAGCCTCATGAAATGTGCGATTACAAATAAATAGTGGTTATGAATGTGTATTCAAAATTAACGTTTAACTTTGACTCAATAAAAAGGAAACTTTTAGTAATTTTTAGGGTCCGTTTGGTAGGGATTTTGAGAATTGAATTTTTGATCGTTAGAAGAAAAGTGGGGTCCACATGTGAGAGAAGAAGTCAAAAATTACGACTTGAATAGTAAAATAACGGTTAAAAAATTAATTTTTTGGAGCAAAAAATCCCTACCAAACGGGGCCTTAATGTTTGACAGATAGAGGCATGTATATGATATTTTTCTTTGATTCTAAAGATGAAGCTTTTTTCTTTTTTATTTTTCTGAAATATACAAAGAAAGTAATCATTGATACTTTGATTGGCGGACAAAATGTGATTATGGCTACTGTCTACTCACAATGTATTTCACTGAAGACCTAGAAGACCTTTGAGGAGCAAGTTCCCTCGAGGTATCTCGTACACTAATGTGTATCATTTTCGAATACTATATCTATCTATGCTCGATATACACAATATAAATACTTGTTAGTGTATTCGGTTCATTCACAATCACTCATTCACGATGCTTCAACCTATTGACTATGGCATTGTACATGGACTGTATATTGTTTTTAGGCTTCTCTCCAACTATTTTATAGGATGATATTTGGGATGCTATATTTTGGATCGTAAGGGTGATGAGTTTGTGCATGGCTTTTGTTTGGATTTAATGTGACTCAAATTCTACTTGGGTCTGAAATGTAGTGGTGTGATTGCCTTCGGCGATAAACTCTTTTCTGTAATTCTTTGTGGGCCGGAGTACTGGCCCTTTGCCTCAATTGTTGGGCTTGGAAACTTGATTGCTTGAGTTATAGATATAGGTTAGAAACCGCTTGACATAACTTTTGAATAGTCAATAGAAGCTTTTGAAATTCAAAATTAGCTTTTGAATTCGTTTGACTAATTTTATGAAAGTGTGTATTTTTTTATTTTTTTTTTAAGTTAAAGAGTTATTAAATGAAGTTGGTTCAATGCGGATTTATCTAAAAACATTTTCGAAGTAGTAAACTCTTTTAAAATGTTGTTTTCAAACAAAAATAAAGGTAATTTCATCTAAGCAAAACAAAATTAAAAGCAAAAGCAAAAGCAAAATTAAAAATAAAAGTAATGTCAGACAAGCCCTTATAGACTGCCTTGAAGCCCTATTATGCACCCCTAGTCCATTGAATTAGTAAACTTACACTGCATAAACATTTTTAATAAAATTTTCAAATAGTATTAGTAATCTATTTTATTTCATATAGTATTATGAATTATTTTATTTTTGTTGGTTACATGTGTTTCAAGAGCTGCTATGCCAGGGCCATGACCACACGGGCACTGGTCATTAAGTGTTACTGCAGAAAACCAAACGCTATTTTGCAAGAAATATTTTCTGACCGTCAATCAAGAAAAAAGTCAAATTCATATAGTTATGTGCGAATCTAGGAACACATAAGTAGAAGAATAACTATCGTGCCATAATTAGTAAAATCTGTGTTTATTTTCCTATCAAAGTTGGGGCAAAATTTGAGTTCAAGAATACCCCGACCTATTTTAAATAAAACTCATCCCATAAAATTGGTCAGAATAATTCAGTGTCAAGATAAGTCAAATTTGGTTGTGCTTCTAGGTGACTTATATATGCCAATTCCTTTAGGAAATGCCAAATGATGGCACATAGGCTCAATCAAGAAACTAATCTCAGGAGCTCGAGACCGAGCCTTGGTGGGACCCAAGTGTGTCCAACTGACATTTCGAGGGAATCAGGCTAGACCAAGTCCTTGAGAGGCTATATATGCCTTCAAAGACTACATGCATGTTAAATGTTCTAAATTGATTTGTAATT